AAACTTAACAAGCTCTTCCAAGCACGGTTGGTTTTTTCCCTTCTCCCTTATTTTTTGGCACTGGGTGAAGCACGAGGAAGGCGCTTCCCCCTCCCCGCCTCCACCACGGGGCACTTTTGTGGCTCTGAGCACATCCAGCACACCGAGCTGCTCATCGGAGCTCGCAGCAATAAAGCCAGGCTCTTACCTCACTCTTTCCATCTCCGAAGTGCCGTACAAGCGTTAACTAATTAATTGAGTTACAGTGAAGTGCCTTTTATTTGTTCCCCCGAGGCGCAGGGGAAGAGGGGGGCTCCATCCCAGCTCCTCCCCGCCTCCTCTGGCTGCTTCGTGCAGCCCCAGCTGGGTTTTAACACGTGCCCATTTCCCTGGCCAAGAGGATGGAGAGGTGGGAGCAGCACCCACGACCTGCTTTGATTTTCCCTCGGTAAATTGGGCCAAAATCCTTGGGGGATTTCTGCAGGAGGTGAAATAGAGCATCCATCTCTTCCCCTCACCAGCTCAAAGTCCTCACCCCGCTCAGTTATCAAGTCATAAAGCAGAAGACCCCACAGGAGAAACCTCTCCATCCTCTCCCCAAGAAACCCAGCTCCCCATCCTCTCCCCATCCTGGTGCTGCCCTCCTTGTGTAAAAGAAGGGGAAAATTTCTGAGCTTTTTGCAGAAAACCCCATTAACCACACAGGTGTCCACTGCACCACAGAGCACAACGGCCTCATTTCACAAAGCACCGTGGGCAGCAGCTAATTAAACCCCAATCCCCGAGCCATGGGTCCCTCCAAAATGCTCGGATCCTTACAGTCCCTGCTGCTGGTCATGATGAGAAATCAATTTTTTTTCAGCAAAAAGGGCCCTGGCCTGACTGTCGAGGTGCTCCTGTGCTTCCAGCCTTCCCCTGACCTCCTCCTGGCTCCATCCCCTGGGAGCACCCAAGTTTTTGGGGTCACATTTGTCCCCTGAGCCGTGGAACAAATACCTGAGCACACGGGAAAAGGTTAGGGACAAATATCACGGAGGGAGAGGGAAATGCTCCGTCAAAGCAGATGAATTATTCAGCTCCTGAGCTGCCGAGTGAACATTATCAGCTAATGATCTGTAATTATTAATAAATAATTTAAGCTTTAATAGCTAGGAAATGAAATGCTTAATTGCATCATAACATAATTAATGGAATTAGCTACTATGAATAAAATGAGGAGTGGTGTGGGTTTTTTTTTTTAATTATTTATTTTTTTAAATAAAAATCCTCTTTCTCCAAAGCGCTGCTGGTTATTTTTGTTCAGCAGGAGGAGGAGGAGAGGCTGCTGGGGATGCAGGACCCCCGCTCGGGGAGCACCTCCCCACCTGCACCCCAACAGTGCCAAAAATTTGGAGGCGAATTCAGTAAAACCACAAAACTTCGAACAACCCAAACTACGAAGCTTTTACAACCTTCTCACGTGCTGTCGCAGGAGGTTTGATGCACGATGCCCCCGCAGCGGCCCCCAAAATGCCCCAACAGAGATCCACAGTTCCCAAATCCTGCCCGGGGGCGATGCCACCCCCCAGGGGACCCGCTGTCACCACTGCCACCTCTCGGCTGTTAACAAGGGTTCATAAAAGCGAGGCCACCAGGCGCGACCAGCTTTTTATTAGGCAATCATATATTTTCATTAGTTATGGTGATGAAGCACTTAGGTTTTACGTGGTGTTTTAGTGTTTCAGGGTGCCACGGGCCGTTTGCCCCTTTTGCTGAAGTGGAACATTTTCAGCAATGGGGTGGCCATAAACGGAGCCAGCTCACAGCTGCTGTTTGTGGGAAGCAGCCCATTAAAGCCTGGGAATTCAATTCCGGAGCCTGTTCATAATTAATATACCTTATAATACGCACATACACACACAAAATATACATAAAAAGAACAAATGTTACTACCAGATAATTATTTAAGTGATGTAGAGACGAGCAAAACGCCCTGCTGGGATTTACCATCCCATGTGCCAGGCCACCACCAGCACCCAAAAATCAAAATACAGAGGATTTCCCAGCCCAGGTTCCCAGCACATACAAACAGGCAGGTTTGATCCCCCAGGGACGAAGATATTTATATTATTCCTGATTTACACCAGCTGCCAATTGTGTATAGAGCCCACTCTGTACGCTGTGCCCAGAAGTCCCCCTGAAGGTCACAGTTCAGGACCAAGGTCACCGGCCCTTCTCCCAGAACCAAAGCCTAATTATTTCTCTCTGAGCTGCCGGAAGAAGAGAAGGATTTTTCTAAAAAAAAATAAATAAAGGCAGAAAGAAAATCTTGCAAGCAGCCAAAATAGGAAAAAAATTGCAAGCCCTTCGAAGAGTGACAGTTTGCAGAGCGTTGCCAAGCTTAATCGTCACCATTAAGCAATTATTGCACATGAAAACAGAAAGTGTCGGCAAACTCAGCCTGCTCTCGAATGAAACGGGAAAGGGTTAGACAGCATCAGAGGGTGAGACAGCATCAGATACTTTCTTCTTTCTAGCTGAGGGATCAAACCACATTCCTGGCATAAAAGGCTTCCAGGCTCATAAATAAGAAAGTGACTGACAAGCGCAGCTTTATCGCCGCCTCGGGTTGCCCCCCCGGGCTCCCCAGCTCATCCCAGCCCCTGAACGTCCCCCAGCCCTGGCTGAAAATCGAGGCAGGAATTTTTTGAGCGGGGTTTGTGGCGGGTCTGCCCCCGTGGGTGATGGGGACCCGGTGCCCATCGTGCTGGGACAGCGGCGCAGGGCAGGGGAGGGAAAAGGTGCCGGGAATTAAGAGTGAACAGATTTGATTCAGGCCAGAATCTTTTTAGGTTGTTTTTCCTTTTTTTTTTTTTCTCCTTTTCCTTTCATGGTAAATTTTCGGTAACAAGGCAGCCAATGGTGGCGGAGCACGGGGATTGAAAATGGTTTCAAAGGAGCCTTATCATGCCGGGGACATATGCACATTGAGCCTTGTAGATAGGATGAGTGGAGGTCCCTTCTGCAGGAGGCAGACAAATATATACCGTTTGCATTTGCTTTTTCCTTTTCCTTTGGGTTGCATTTTCTTTTATTTTTTTTTTTTATTTTTTTCTTTCTGGGGGTGGGGGGCGCTGAAGGAGTCTGTCCAACCTGTCAGCATTTACTGGTTTGGGCTCAGCGACTTCAGGAATTCAATAAATCCCTTCCTTAAAGGCACCATAAAGAAAAAAATGCACCGGCAAACCACAGCGTGTTTTATTTTTTTTTTAAAGACAGAACTAAAAATCCTCACCTGCATCCCTCACAATGTCAGAAAAAGATAAAAAAGGGGGAAATTGTTTTAAAACTTTGCTTTTTTTTTGTGCTGCACATAGAGCGATGCCACAAACATTTGGTTAAATGGATGAACGGACAGATGGACGGACGGACGGACGGACGGACAGATAAAAGAGGTGGCTGGGTGGATGGATGAGTTCGAGGGGAGGTGGGTGAGGAGGACGTTGGACACTTTTACAGTTTCATCAAGAGGCCTGTGGCAGCTCCGAGCTTTTTAAAGCCCTCCCAGCCATTTCCGCAGGGTTATGAGGATCTCAGCTCCTGTTAAACACCAAGTTTATGGTGCTGTGCTTGCAGATGTGACACCAGAAATGCCCCAGCCCCTATATTTGGAGCCCTGGAGGCAACCAGGGCTCGCTTCGGGCCCCTCGCTCTGAGCAATTGGTGCAAACACTGACCCCAGATCTCCCAAATCGCCCCCAAATCCCCTCCTCGTGCAGGGCAGCCTCTTACTTTGTGAGGGAGGGAAGAGCAGGGTACATCATTACCACACCGACCACATCATAAATATAAATCAGCAGCAGTAAGCACCAAAAAGCCGCTTTTACAAGGAAAGGACAGGTTGAACGTGCTGCCTAAGGTGACATCTCAGCGCACAGAGGCCAGGGGGGTGCCACCAGGGTGCTGTGATCCCCGTCCCTGCCCCGCATCCCCCTGCAGCCCGGCTGCATCCCCGCGGTGCCCTTCACGCTCGGGATCACCCAGAGCTCGAGAGCCGCAAGCTAAAGAGGCGCAGGAGCCTTCCCAGGAGGATTTAAGGAAGAAAGACCAGCACGAAGGACGGGCAGAGGCTGTGCAGCAGCAGGGATACCCACGGGGTGCTCCCCATCAGGATTTACACCCTTAGAGGCAGCGAAAGCCGGCAATGATGGCACAGTGGGGAAGGTTTGGGCTCAGCCCCGCAGAAACGTGCACGCGGGGCTTTTGTTCTGCTTTTTTTTTTTTTTTTTGGAGGGCTGCTATTTGTTTTGGAGAGCTCGCTTTCCCTTTTCATTTGGCTTGGCAGAATTTCAATACTTCTGCCTTTCACCTCAATAAAAACAGCGTGTCAGGTGACAGGTTTTGATGATGGAGTGACCTTTTCTGCATGCAGAAAACCCATACATTTTCTTGTATTTGGGGGGGGGGGGAGCGCAAAGCTGCTTTTGATGAAAAACAAAGCCTCAAACGCCACGGGTGATATCACCGTGAACCAGAAAATTACAGTTGTGCTGTGGGTTTCTTTTTTTTTAACTATGCAGAATGACATCAGGATGCAACTTTCATTAACACCGAGCTATTTGCACGTGTAGAAAATTGCTGTGACAAAGACCAGAGCCCAAGGGAGGCTCAGACCCCTCCCAGGATGAGTTCGGGTCGAAGTGTGGGGCATTTTGCTTGGCTGAATCCCAAATTCTCCACTGCTGTTTGCCTTCCTAGTCCTTCCCCATCTCCAAGTCTCCACGGGGCAGCCTGGGGATAAAAAACGATGCCTCCAGAAACCTTTCCAGAGCCGTGCAGGCGCATTGTGTCCACACGGCGCAGTCCCGTTCATTAGCACATTGTTGACGTTCATTAATCGAGCGTAAAACTGTAATTAAAAATAATCTCCTTTTCTTCAAGCAGCGGCAGAAGAGAAAAAAAAAAGAGGCCGACGAATAAAAACTAATGCATGAATGTGCTAATTGCAGCTGTGGGAATGCGCCGGCAAAACAATTTGCTGTTTTGTGCTGCGGGGAAGCGCCAGGGGTCCGGTGGAGCTGCTGAGCGCTGCAGGAGGGGTGCTCAGCACCAGGCTGGGTTGTTCCTGCCCTCGTTGCTGTGGGAGCTTGGGTGAGCCCCGTTCCTGCCGGGATCAGGGCAGGAAAAGCCAGGGAAGAGCATCCCAAGCGATGGAGAGGTCTACGTGTTCCCATAGGAATCGCTCTTCCCGACCCGCTGCAGGGGCTGATCCCAGCTCGTGCGGGAGCTGCCGCGGTGAAAAGGGGGCTGCCTTTTATGTCGGCTGATTTATCTCCTTCGGTGGAGATTTCATTTCAAGTTGGAGGATGTTCAAAGTAAAGCCAGCCCCGTTACAGGCTTAATTGGACCATATTTCAATCCCGGTTCATCTATTCAGCGTGGATTCCTTATCCTGGGTCCATAAACTTTTATTAAGTTATATATCAAGGAATATACATATAGGGTATAGAGATACAGCCCTGCTTACATGTTTTTTTTTCCGAAATGAGAAAGGTTGTGGCTGCTCAGACGCGGGCTGAAGGTAATTGGGTGCCTGTGCCAAGGCTGGAGGAGCAGAGGGATGGCGTTGGGGCGATGCTGTCCGTGTGTGACCCAAGGGACCACAGCAGCCAAAGCCACCAGGTAGGGCCAGGTGAATCCCTTCCCGGCTGCTCCCTGCCTCCCCTGGCTTTATCTGCTTTCCCGTCTTGCCCCTCCTCTCATCAGCTGAGGTTATTTTCCAAAGACGAGTAATTACGAGCATGTTATCCCCACTCAGCCGCGTGTCGTAACAGCGCCCGCTGATGTACAGTAGCAGGCAGCTTGATAATGGGCCGTATTTAAGCTGATTGCCACTGCAGATAAATGATTTCCCTGAATGGATGCACTTTTGTTAAACTTCTGAAGGCAAAAGCAAAAGTTACCATTATTATTTTTTTTTCCCCCTTTTTTAAAAAGCACCCTTTGAAAAGGACGCGCCTCCCCCGAGATTCTCATTTCAGATTAGGATATCAGGTGTACGGCAAGAGATGTCTGATTCCCTGGCTGTCAGGGCTGCTGTTTGATATTCAAACCTGTCATTTGATCGTTCCTGAATAGCTGCCTCGGTGTCCTTGAGGATAGCTCTATTAAATGCCGAATCCGTTCCCTTTCCCTCCGCATCCGTGATGAGACAGAAGAGCTCTGGGGGCTGCGTTAACGCACCGCGACTGCGGCGTCCTCGAGCGAGTCGTGGAGCGAGTGGGTGGAGAGGGAAGGGGACGGGAAGGGGAGGAAAGAAACTCGGGGATAAAACCCACTCGAGCTGGAGTGCCTGGTTATGCTGAAAGGCAGACTGGAGAGAAAATTGGCCTGAAGATCAGGAGGTGACAGCATCTTTGTTGAAGACGAAGGAGTGATTCAGCGCTTCGTGCAAAGAATTCGGTCGTGAGGATTTTTGGTTCAAAGCCTCGTCAAGAGACGTCGGGTTGCGTGCTGGTGGCTGCAAGGCTGGGAAGCACGAGGTGCTCAGGAAAGGCCTCGCGTGGGGATTTCACTCATCCAAAATCCCATCACGTCCCTGCTCCGAGCAGGACGATCCGGGACAGGGATCCTCCTGCCACTGCCATCCAACAGAGATCTCCCCGTGCTTTAAACAACATGTTCACACCAGATCTCAGCATTGATTGCTGAAGTCACTTATGAAGTTAATTACAGAGTTAATTACCAGCTAATAACTTTGTTGCTAATAGCTGTAACGGGTTTTTGGCAGGAGTTGTCAGAAGGGGCTGATTGGAAGGTCTCTGGGGTAGGATCCTCTCTCCAGAAATGGATATACCGACGGCGAACGATTCCAATCTTTTTTACTTTGATGAACAGTAAATTATTCTAATATCCTTCACTATTGTATTCATTTATTATCCGTGGGTAATTAGAAGTGAAGAGCTGCAAAGCTGCCTCGGTTGCAGATAGGAGGCCACGGCAATGGGGCTGCCTTGATTTCTGATGCCTACACCAGATTGTGTTGTCAGCCCTCACCTTTCCATTGCATCCCCAAGACACGCAGCGTGCCCAGCCTTTGCCCTGCCACAAGTACACCTTTATCCACACGCTGTCCCCCCCCAGTGAAGGTAATGGCCTCGAAATGCCCCGCATCCTATTTAAAGGTGTGCCTTGGGGTCTGTTCTGCCAGGCACATCCTGCACTGCTGGTGCTTTTCCCTCCCCGCAGTGGATGAGGTTTGGGAACCTCCACGTGAGCACCTGCGCCCTGCAGCTCCCTGAGGCTTTGCAAGACACCCTGGGGACGGTTCCAGCTCCCAGCACAAACACAGCGTAAAAAAAGATCCTTAAGAGAAGAAACGGAGACTAAGAAATGTGATTATGGGTGCACAAAAATGAGATACTCAGGTATGTCGAGACAAAACAGATTCGTAGCAGACACAATCCCTCAGCCCCCGAGCAAATGGATGGGATGCTGGGACTCAGCCGATCCTCTGATGTTTATGGGGACGTCTCTGGATGTCCCCTCGGGCACACAGGAGGTTTCTGGACCTGCCCTCCAGCAAGCAGCCTGCTGGCTCTGGGGAAGGCAATCGGTGCTAAGCGCTGAAGAGCCGGGCCTGAGCGCCGAGCAGCCACGCGCCGCGCTTGATTTGGATGGAAATTAGCAGCCAGCAGTTGCGGCGGGGGGCGAGGAAGCCTCGGAGACTGGTGGAGATTATCAGAAAACAAATGAACAGAACAGCGTGTCGTCCCCAGCGAGGAGCGAGCACCAAAATCAAAGGCGCAGGCGGGACTCGGAGAGGAATCCTAATGCAGGAGGAGGTGAGGTGCGACGGGGAGCGTGTGGCCCCAGCAGCTGCAAGCCTGAGCAGGGGCAAAACAACTTCCACAATGGTGCTGTGATGTCCTGGAGCCCCCAAAACCCTTTGGTTCACCCTAACCCCTCGGCCAAGGGGTGTCATGCTGCGAAAAAAACATAAATCACTGCATCTGGCAGCAGCAAGGCTCTTGGCTCCTTGCAGCTCCCAGAGCACAACCGAAACGTGCTAAAAACATCCGAGCAAAGGCTTTATCACCTGCAACCAGCAGATTGATGGGAGATTCCCAGGGAGCCCAGCCAGGCTCCTGCCTGGCAGCCCCCTCCTGCTGAGCCCAAGATAAAGGCAGCAGCAGCAGCTCCGCATGGGAAGGGGGCAGAGACACGAGGTAAGAAAACACGGCACGAGCTCAGCACTAAGACATCCCTCCCATTCACGTCTCAGGAACCTGCTGCTGCTCTTGGATCACTCTCAAATCGGGGTTTTCTTTCCTGCTTCTGCTGTGAAGTGCCCAGGAGACAGACGTGAAGGTGCCACATCACCGCCCCACCAGCATCTTCCTCCCTACCTTGAATTTTATCACTGCTTTCGGTAGCCCTGCTGCATTCAGGGTTGCACCACGGTGCCAGGCTCCTTGTGTGCAGCAAGCAGGGGCTCAGGACTTGGGCTGCTTTGGCTGCCAGCTCCTGTGAACGCTGCCTGTCCCTCCTGGCAAAGCTCCTTGGCTGGGGAAAGCTGCTGCAGACACTGCTCCAACCCCTCCTTATCAGCCAGACGCACGCCCCGAAAATTTGGGGGGGGAGCAGGGATCTGAAGGAGGCAGAGGAAAACCACTCGCTCCGTGCATCACTGCAGGGTTTGGAGGGGCGAGGCAGGGGGGCAGGATTTGGTTTCCATTCCCCAAGAAAACAGAGGGCTGGGAACATCAGGCTGAAAGCTGATTTCATGGGGCCGGCAGCTAAACCAGAGCAGCAACCAGGAGCCAAGCACCCTCAGCTCGCCCTGCTCTGGGGCTCCTTGCTCCCCCTCTCAGCCTCAGCTGCTAAATTTGGGTGGATCAGGGATTTCCACCACCCTCCTGCAATTTCTGCCATCAGAATGATTTTTTCTCAGCTAGTTTGTTCCCTAAATTTAGCTTTTTTTCCCTAATTTCTCAACTTTTGTAGTACATCTCCATTTCAAAATACTGATGGGGAACCTTCCCCTCCCTCCTGATTCTTCCGTCTTCCTTATAACAGGAGACAGAAAAGAAGAAGAACAGAAGACTTGCTCGCAGAAACAAAGCTGTGTAACTAGCCCACTGGATTAAAAAATCAATTACCTTCTCCCATGGAAAAAAAAAAAAAAAAAAGTGGTTTCTTCACATTTTCTTTTAGGGACACCCTTCTTTTTGTTTTTGGCCCAATTTTGACCCCCAACCCTACACTCAGGGTAAAAGTGTTCCATGGGTGTTGCAGAGGGATGTCAGTGCCCGGGTGGCACCGGGTTGTTCTGTGCACACCTTTCACTTCCAAAATTCCCAAATCTGAATGGAATAGATAAAAAGAGGCTTTGGATCAGCCCCTGACCCTGGCCGCGTGAGTAATTCCATGGGTTGCCTTTATCTGGATGTATAGTAAAATAATGATCTGCGAATCAATAAACCCTTTACTATTATCCGCCGCAAACACAATCCGTATTCATTACAATTTGTAAATGCCACGGAGAGAAAACTAATTCAGGACCCCTTCCAGCTCCCTGAAAGTGTTCGGGCCCCGTCATGCACTCAAAATATTGAGCTTTCCTGGAAACCGGGCGCAGGGGCAGGTCCTGCCACCTGAAAACGCTTCCTTTCAGCCTGCTGCAGGGTGGGAGCTCGAGGCGCTGAATAGCTGCAGCTGTAATCACCCCGCAGTGAATGATGCTCCAAATTGCAGCTCCCAACATGCAGGGGATGGGGGGGGGAGAGAGCGGAGAGCCGGGAGCAGGTGACGGTGTTTGAATGTCATTTAAAGTTCACTTTCATTATTTTAATTGTCACTGTAAAAATCTCCCATTCAGGCCTGATTATGCTCGGAGAGAAATCAGAACTTAAACCCCAATCAGGCAGAGCTGGAGGTGTTGTTTCGCTGCCATGTAAAGCAGAGCCTGAGCTGTGATTAAGCAGCAGCATTAGCGAGCTCCGAGCAGCTACCAGGAGACTTAGGAGCACGCAGGATTAACGCTGAATAATTTACACGGCCAAAGCCATCACGCTGACGGATAAAAGGAAGCCTTCACCTCTCGGATGAGGTTGTCCCGGGGCTGATTTGCCCCAGTTTCTCTCCTCGTCAGACGAGAGGTTTGGGCACGAGTTGAAGGAAAGGATTTTCTTCCCTGTGAGATGCGATGCCAGCCCTCTCATGCAAACAATTAAGGAAAAAAAAAAAAAAAAGGGGGAAAAAAAGGATGCTTCATGAGCTGCCTGAAGTGTAACGTCCTTCCAGACAAACCAATTTGCAAGGAGATAGAGCCAGTGGGATCAGGCAAGAACTTAACAAGCATCTCTGGAAAAAAACAAACAATGCATTTAAGAACATGGCATTTTTTCCTAATGGAGAAACATCAACTCTGTGGGGAAATAAATGTAATAAACTAATCCAATCTCCACAAACATTTGTTTTCTTATCTCTGGAAAATCAATATACATGTTGCAATTATGTCCTCCGATGAATCCCCCAAACTTTTGATTCTCTCTCTAGGCTTCCTGCCCAATTCAAGTTCATTACATTTCCTTTTCTTCATCTAGATAAATTTGGGGGTTTTGCGTTTCTGAGCCCAAGTCATGTTTTTTTTCTTGAGAGGTTTCATTTCTCCTTTCCTTCCATCAGGGAGGGAGAGGAGTGCAACCCTCAGCTTCACTCTAATCAAATTAAATGTAATTTAATTGCTGTGCAAGCGTGTATTTTAGGAATCCTGGCAACAAATAAATGAGAACAAAATCAAGGCAAATTCTCAGCCTGTCGGGGGTCCTCCTTGCTTCCTCGCCCTCCTGGGAGAGCCAGGAACATGAGCAGAAAATGGGAGCTTCTCACTACATCACCCAGCATGGCCTTTTCTGGTCCATTTTGGGTTATTTTGCTTTCTGTCCTTCTGGCCTTGGAGCACGAAAAAGCCAAAAGAAAACGGTGGCAAAAAGTTCCCTTTTAGGTGAAAAGCAAACCCACTAAATAGTGGTTGATGGATGCCCTGCGCCCACGTACCCTGTGCATCTCGATGTGTTCAGACACAGGGCCTCCTTCCTGGAGCTCTCATCACTAATGCTGCAGTGACAGCCCCTTAAAGAACAATCATTTCGAGCAAATATTTTGCTTCCATTTACAAACGACCCAAGTTTCCTCGAAGGAGGCTGCTGAGAGCTGCCTCCAGAGGAGGTCACAGAGTAAACCGTAATTACGCACGCCGCTCTCAGGAGCTGGATTCCTCCTCCCTCCCTTGCCAGGCAATAAATTACCCCCAAGTTTTTTCTCTCTGCAGTTCTGGGCTCCCTTTCACACTTCTGCATGCAGACAATGCTGCAAGACAGATGAGATCTGCCAAGGGAGCAGAAACATTTGGAGCACAGAAAGAGGCACGCGGCGGAGAGGCGAGGAGCTCTGCCCGAACACGGCGGGTGTGCAAATCCCCTCCGGGGCACCTGCTGCGTGTTGGGCTTCCTGCAGGAGAGTTTGTCCCTTTATATGATGAATTTTGTCATTTTTACGCTTTGCTCTTTTTTTTTTTTTTTCTCTTTGAGCTTTCATTCCATTTTTTTTTTATTTAATTTTTTTTAGGCTAAGACTCCCCACTGCTCCTTTCCCCAGGGCACCTCTCCGCGATGCTCTCCTCAATATCCGCCACGTGGCTCGTCAGAGCACAGAGCCACGAGCACAGAAAGGGGTCTTTTTGCCGCTCCGAGGACATTTGGGAGCCCAAAGGACCCCAGCACACCTCCTCAGGACCCCATCAGACACATCAGACACAGACACCACGAGCAGGATGAGGCATTTGCCATCACGAGTAACAAGTCAGGTTTTGATGGGTGCTGGCAAAAGGCTGAGATTTTCCTCAAATTCGCTCCCATTTTTGACGGGGCTGCGTGGGGATTTTCTGGCCAATGTGCTTGGAAAGGGGGGCAGGGGGGCAAGACAAATGGCATTAAAATGAACACGCAGCAGCCCGGGGGGCACGTGGACAGCAACGATTATCTTATTTAACGGGAGCCCCCTCGGGCACACGGAGCCAATGCGCCGTGCAGCCAACTAATGGCTCATTTGTAGGATTCGGTTGGTTCGGGGAGTTCATAATGTCCCCGTGTCATGGCAGCTTAGCTTAAGAATATGGATCTTCGACTTAAGGAGACACGGCCATACATCAAAGTGTTTAACAGCCTGAGGTCAGCATCCTTCTGTTTGGGCAGGTCTGGGAAGGGAGCCAAGGGAAACCACTCCTTTCATTGCGGGACTTCTTGGAGAAGCGTTCAGGAAACTGCTCAAAAAAAAAAAATAAAACAACACACGAGGGCAGGCGTTTGGCTGAGGACAGCGTGTTTCTCACCTGCAGAGCATCACACAGGGAGCAGGAGATGGGAAGGGAAAGGTTTTCAGCTCTGGGCTTTTTCCATCGCATCCCTGGGCTCTGGTGCTGACAGCATGGGGTGAGCTCATGATGCTTCTGGGTGGCTGGGGATGGCAGAAACCAGCAGCACGGCCACATCTCTTGGCAGGGGAGGAAGGCAGTGAGGATATGGGAGGGTCTGGGACAGGCTTAACATGCCCTGGCCAAAAGCTCGGCTTCTTTATTTGATGCTTCATTTATTAACGAGATGCTCAGCACCTGTGGGACCACCTAAAAGCAGCCCAGGTTGTTGCTGCTGTGCCCTGCTCCTGGGGGCCAAAGCAGAAGTCAAAGCTCAGAGAGGATTTTCATGTGGCAGGGAAGAAAAAGTAATGGAAATGAAAGGAAAGGAAAATGAAAAGCAGAAAATGTTTCAAACGCCTATTGTGGCTTTTATGAGTCCCTCTGTTGCCATCTCCTCCAAGGATTGCAATATTTTTTTCTGTAATTAACAACAAGCTGCAATGGCCTTGCTTTAACGAGCCACGAGCCTCCTTTAGATGCCTGCATGGGTTTTCCCCTTTCTTTTCTCTGCATTTTCTCACCAAGCCCCCAGCACGAGAGCAAGCGGCCGCTCAGGGCAGCTCCGTGGTACCCAGACCCTGACTCTCCCCATCACATGGGGTCAGCCTGGAGACAGGGACCCAAATCCCGACAGAGACGGGGCCGTGCTGCAGCTGATCCCAACACTGAGCACCCCAGCAAGGCGGACAGATGCTGCTGGTCCAAGCCTTTCAGCCAAGTTTCTCTTCCAATTTATTGCAAGCCATCGAAACCCAACACAAACACCAACAGCAGGAAAACTCGGGAACTTTTTCTCCTCCACAGAGGACAGAAAACCCTTCTTTGGTGCCACCCTAAAATTTTCTTGGCCAAAATGGGGGCACCAGGACCTGCTGCTGTAGGTTCCCCTGCTCCATCCCTGCCCTCCGCCGCCTCTCCTGGAGCAACTGGTGGCTGCGACCGGGAAACGCAAGGCAAAGTGGAGAGCCTGAATAAAACATGAAGGAGAAAGTAAATCCTTTCTGGCACCTGGTTACTTCTCTTCCGAGTGCAATATGCGAGGCTGCTAATTGCTTGATTTACTGTAGCAGTCACTCTGCCAACAGCAATAAATAATGTTAATTAATATAAGGTAACCCACTGACAGAGAGGCTGGTAATTACCAGGAAACCAGAGAGATGGGCCTTTTGTGGTGCTGTTAGAGGAGAGAAGAGCACAATTTCCTCCCTTGTATTTGGTTATCTATCATCCTTTATTTGTTTGCCTTGAGCGCTATGTGGAAAGATCTTGGGTCCAATTTCTGTTTGTTTTCTTTCTCTCTTTTTTTTTTTTTCCCTTTCCCCAAGGATACTGTACGTTAATCAGAGAAGAGTTTCCTTGATTGCACACACAGAGAAAAGATTTTTTTTTTTTTTCCTGAGCATGTGCAGCGAAGAAAATCCAACGCCAAATGTTGAACATTAACATCCTGGTGTGCCAAGGAGGCCTGATGCAAACAGGCAGCTGCTCTTGCAGTGCTGCATCCCCCCCGACCCTGCAAGGAGCCACGCGTGTGCTGAGCATCCTCATCCCCGGCACGGCAACATTTCCTTAAATACTTCTGCTGAATCCGTGCCTAAGGAAATTTCGGCTGATCTCTGACCCAGCTGCATCTCCAGGGACCTGCACCTGAACCACGAGCATCCCACTTGCAGCACCCAGAAAAAGAGGGGGAAAAATTGCTATACGCTGCTTGTTTGGGTAAGTTTTGTCACATCCATTAAAATATTTGCTGCTTTTAATTTTCTCTCTTTTTTTTTCATGGTAAAAAACATTCAGGACCCAGGCCTGCACCAGGCAGAACTTGCTCCATGTCTATGGCACTGCTGGGCAGAGGGGGAGCTCAAGACATAGGAAACTGGGAGAGGGGCACAGGAAGGGGACAAGCGGTCCAAATATGCTCACAGTCAGTGCTCATGGTGCTTGTTCAGCATTTCCCAGCAAAAAAAACTGCCTGGAGCAGCGAGGTGCTGGAAGAAATCCCCCATTTTCCATGGCGCAGCTGCGTAATTCCCGACTCCGGAGCTCGCAGCAGGGACCCAGCAACCCCCCCCCCAGCTTCCTCCCCGCACGAGGCTTTGGGGATTTAATCGCTGCTTTCCAGCCCCGAGAAAAGCTGCCGTGAAAACGTCCCAGATGTGATGAAATTATGAGCCCTCCTCGCAGCGCGCGAGTCAAGAAAACTCGTTCGGATGATTTTCATGTTGGATTTGTCCAAGGAAGCAACTTCAACACCCCAGCTCCTGCAGGAGAGGAAAACATCTTTAAAAGTTTTAAGTAGTAAGAGGCAGGATTGGTTGTTGTGTTTCCAAAGGTGCTATTTGGAGAGGGGCAGCTTTAAAACAAGAAGGGAAAAGGAAAGAAATTGCATGTAAGGCCGGTGCTCTGGTGGGAAAAACTCTGTCTCAGCCTCCTCTCCCCAAAGGGGTTGATGAATCTCAGGCATTACAGTGACAAAAGCGGAGATCCTTTGGTGTTCCGGCCTAATTTCCTAATTACCTTTTCTAATTTGGTAATTCTCCTTTTCTCAAATTTTCTATTTGCTAATTTTCTAAATAAAGAAATAGATAAATAAACCTGCTAATTTTCTACTTTATTCTATTCAGAAAATTTGCTAATTTTCTATTTTTATTCTATTTCTATTTACAAAATTTGCTATTTTTCTATTTTTTTCCCCTCTAATTTCCTATTTGCTCATTCACCTTTCCCCGCTAACCCAGAGGTACCACCCTGCACAGCGAGCCTTGTCTCCGAGGCTGGCGCTGCCCCGAGCGGCTCCCCCAGCAATGAATTTGGGCTGGATTTGGCCACGGCCTCGCCCTGACTCCCGGCAGATTTTTCACATTGAGTTTTTTAAGAGCATCTCCTCGGGGGAAGAGCTTCCTGCGCCTTTCCCCCGCAGCCTCCCATCGTACTGGAAATCTGTTCCCGCGTGTGTCACCGCGACTACACAAAACCACCCGGGATAATTTGCGCTCTATAAAGGCCTGGTATTTGTTGGCGAGATGGAAACCTCTCCCCGGCCTGGTGGGAAGGGAGAGGTGGACGGCGATCTGCCGATATTACACAGCAAATAGCTCAGCCCCGTGCCAGCGGCCGTCGGCAGCGCGCGCATTAACCTCGTTTGCGGCTGTAACTATTTTCGTTAGCGGCTGATTTATTCCCTTTAATGACTCCCAGCTTTGGAGCTCGCTCTCTCCGTGAGCCGGGCGCGGGAGGTCTGCGAGCCAGCTGCTCTCGGCCACAACTGGTAGCAGCAGGCAGGAGCCGGTGCTGAGCGTGGCTTTGCTTTTCTCCGCATGTGGGAGCCACGTGGAAAACCCAAACCTCCTCTCCTGAGCTATTTCTAACTCCGTGCCATGCAGGATCGCATCCTCTGGCACCCGGTGCTGCCCTGCCTTTTTTTTTAATTTTTTTAATTTTAATTTTGCCTAATTTTTTTTTTTAGCCTTTCTGGCATTACTGGCTGCAAGAAACACCAAGGCAGGTGTGGTGCTCGGGGTCAGAAATTGCTCATTTTTGTTTTTTTCTGCCCCTTTCCTGCGGGAAACTGGGAGGGACAACGAGCAGCACCGCCTGGACCAAAGCGGACCGAGCCCAGATTGAACTCCTGGATAATTGCTGTGGATTTCACACATTTATCTCTTTGAAGGCCAGAAGACACCGCTGCCCACGCCGCACCCGACATCCTGCTTAATGAGGACCACGGAAATTCACCCCGAATTTCCCACCTCGGCTACAACAGCCTGCAGTCCGTGCTGTTAAAAAAAAAAAACAGGCGCCTGACCTTTGGTGATGGATCCCACGATTAATTACCGGGCCAGCCAAAAGCGTGGATTTAATTTCAATTACACTGGGCATTGCTCCATCTGCATGGCTTTAAAATCCCACATAGCTGGGCACTGAGCATAGACGCTCACCTACATGGGACGTTTGCTTCCTTTAAGGGTTTCTGCTGAGCTTTTCCAGACCCCCATTAATTTAATGATGTCCTTTAATTTCAGAAATCCCGCAGAGCATCACTCTCAGCCTGTTGGCTGCACCCAAAGGAGATCTGGGATTTGGGGGACGACAAGCCAGACTGGTGTAAAGGACTGGCAGAGCCTCACCCAACTGGGACCACAGCAGGGGGACAATTTGAGGAAGGGGGACCCCAGCAGGAACGGGGACATAAGACCCCGTGGGTTCCTGCAGCTCCCACCCCAGGCACTTTGGGGAAGAAAAGGGCTCATCGCACTGACAAGGGACAGACTCGCCTGAGATGTCACCTTCAATTTGTTGGCAGGATTAGGTTCCTTTCTGATTGGAGAGGAGATTGCCTGTTTTTCATGTAAATGCTCTTTAATGGATGTTTAGTACAAAGCTGACAGCGATATGACAGATAGGATCCTCACGGGGGCTTTCTGCAATCACACTGTTAGTTTACTCCTTTAGATGACAGAGATCTTGATCTTTCAGTCTTTCAAGTGGTGTGTATTTAGGGTTTGGCGGGTGTTTTTTTCCTAAACACCGGTGTCCTTGACAAATACACAGAAAATGACACAGAGCCAGGAAGAAAATATTAGTCTGCAATGGGGAAAAAAAAAAAAAAAAAAAAAAAAAAAGCCAATTTAACACCACTGCACCAGATCAACTAAACCCCACAGCTTTTCCCTGCCTTTTATCCCCATCCAGGTCTTCCCCTGTGGGCTTGGAGCAGGTCCCCCAGGCTCTGGGAGCGCTGTCCTCGTTTGTCAGGCAGAGGGGCTAAACTGAAGCTTAGGAAAAAAGAAAAAAATCCTCCCATTTCCTCTGTTATTGTTCGTATTAAATATTTCATTAACGCAATATTGCGTGGTGCCAAAGCAGAGTGGATTGCTAAAAAAAAAAAATCACATCAGACCTTATTGCTCCCCTGCTCTTCCCAACGCATCAGCTACAAGAATTCAATTTCTTAAGGGGAAATAAGAGGACTTTGGAGCAAGAAGAATGGAGAGGAAGAAGGAAGCCTCACCCAAACAGAAATTAATGACTTAAACATAATCAAAACCAGCCACCTAAGAGGCCAGCTGTAATCACGGAGAACAGATGTAGACACATAAAGCTACTGATGTTAGCTAATGGGAAGGAGAGAAGGATCTCTCCATCATTTATATTTTCTAACATGCTGAGACTTAGGACAAGCTATTAAGGAGCTGACATTTGCAAGTGTATTTAAGCCCTGCTTAGATTAAAGCTTTTTATTTCTTCTAACTCTCTCATCTCCTCCCTACCACATTCTCTAACATTTTCCCCCTCCTCGGCGGATTTATTTCTGTGGAGATACTCAGTATCTCCATCCACATCTATACATCTCCCCTTTTTTTATCTCCCTCTATTTACCACGAAGCTATTGGCGAATAAATTAAGAACGAAATGAAAATATTCCTTCTATAAATAATTGATGGACATCTCCGCTGCGCGCAGATCCCACACAGGTTTCTCTGCATGTGGGCACAGAACGCGCAGAGCCTGGGGAGCAAGAGAGGAAAATCATGCTCCTTATCACAGGAATTTGGGAAAGGAGAAAGGAAAATATTCCTGCCTGCCCCATCCTTCACCAGGCAACAAAACTGAGCTTTTCCTGCCCGGTTTTGGCATACCCACAAAGGGCGCACATAGAGGAGATGGGAACGGGGCTGTGCTGGATGAATGCTTTTCTCCCAGAGGTTTGTAGGGGAAAGACAGCTCCTGGAGCCCGGACACGGGCACATTTCGGCGGAACAGCTGAGGATAATTAAACTTTGCAGTGAGGAGATAACGTGAGAGATGCGGTTTTTCCTCCGAGCCTTTCACATCACAGCTGGAGGCATTAGATAAGGTGGAAATTGGCCTATTTTCCAGACAAAAGTAGCTTTGCTGAGAGAACACAGGGAAATTTAAGATTTTTCCTCCCTCCTTCGAAACAAAAAAAATTGACATTTCCCCGCAGTTTTGCGCAGTGCCACCGGCACCCCAAAATCACGGGGGTGCAACATCTGAAGCCAAGAGGAAGGAGAAGGGACGGGAGCTGCCTGCTGGGTTTGTGCAAGCTTGCTGCGTGTTCAGCCCCCACGGAGCAGGGGAATGGTTTGGGTTGGAGCATTACCCCAAAACAACCCCAGCTTTGTCCCCTGCTAATGCCAGCCCCAAGCGCCCTCCCCGTGGCATCTCACACCTTCCTGACCACGAGGAAGGGGAAATGGGCACGGTGCAGCAGCCAGCACCCAGCGCAGCCCCGGCCAGAGCAGACGTGACGGCGCGGGGAGCCGCAGGGAGCCGGTCGCTGGGGATTAGCTTTAAATGCCACATCTGCTCACTTCAGAGCGTGCCGGGCTGGAAACGCATCTCAGCAGGCAGGGGATGCTCGGCAAAGACAAGCGGGCAGATGTGACTGACATCAGGCTGTCCCCATGCCCTCCCCAGCACCTCCCCGAGCCGCTCCGGCATTTCGGTAACGCTTTCTGACACTTGTATTAAAAACTGCTGGCTTCAGGGGGGGATTTGTCAACTCTGGTTCTGGAAATAGCCTGCCTGGCAGGGGCAGGGGCAGGGGCACTGCTTGCTCAGGGAGCTCATTGCCTCGGGGTGCTCGGGAGGGCCGGGCATGAACGAAGCTGAGCACGGGCACACGCAGACCATGAGAGCATCCAGAGGCCTGGAAGCTGGCATTGAGAGTCAGATATTTGGGGGATGGTGGAAACCCTGCTGGCTTGTTACTAATCATAATTAATTGCAGCTCCTTATGTGCGTACAAATTAAATATATATAGAAACACACATCTATATCCTCTTCCTACAGATGCACACGTGCAATGCTCTCCTCCCTGGAGAACTCGGTGAAGGAAGGTCTCAGCTCCATCCCCGGACTCTTTCTCAGCCAAAAACTCAGATGTGGGGTTCAAAAAGGTCCCGCTCACCTTGGGCTGAGCTGCACCTCCAGCCATGTCTCCCCCGGGTGCCGCCGTCTTCTCCAAGGCACCCCGCTTCTCCCTGCAGGTGGGGATGGCTGTTTACTTGGAAGGATGCTTTCACAAGAGAGGAAAAAAAAGCCAAACGACCTCAATCCAGGATATTGCTTCCTTCCTCCTGACATTTATGAACTATGTATTTCACATCTCTGGTGCCGTGTTCCATAAAATAACATCTGTCATCGCCGGCAGCCTTTGGAAAGTGCTCTCGCTGGGGTTTGCTTTGCAGATTTAGAGCTGGTGGAAGGGGGCACGGAGGGGGCTCGGCGGCACGTCCCTACAAAGATCTGCCTGCGAGGGGGGGCTGCAGAGAGCTGAAGCACTTTGGGTGCGAACCAGCATCCCCATTGCATGCTCGGGGGGAGCAGCAGTGGGCATGGGGCCACGGCGAAGGGCACTGGGGCGCAGAACCACGGGGAGCCACGGCCACTGCTCTCCGTGTCTCATCCTGGAGGCACAACGGGAAGAGAATCAAGTGCAAACCTCCCAGCTGAATGCGACTCTTCTCCATCCCTCCCCCAGCCCCTTGCCTTTTCCTCTCTGCGCTCCTTCGGATGCTCTCCCCTCCTCGCCCCTCTCCACGACTGTCTCGCTCCCCTGCTCCCGGCACAGCGGGCTCCGGAGCCGTCTCCTGACACCTCGAGTCACCATGACAACCTCCTCCGTGATGACTGTGGTACCAGCAGCATCACTTCCCTGCCACTGGAGGCTCCTGCTCCTCTCTGCCATCAATTTCCTTCCTCCTTCACCCGGCCACAGGCTACAGCCAAAGCTTCCAAGGGGCCTCTTCTGCCTCGTCGTTGTGCCTTTGGATTATAAATGGATATAAATCAAAATGTAAATATATCTATCAATTCTGCCCCAAACTTGCACTTATTAGAAAGGAGAAATAACCTCCTCTTGCAGGGAACAGACCGACTCCATCTGCCTGCTGGCGGCTGCTTGGAGGCCCCCGTGCAGCAGGAAGGAGCCGCGTGTTTCCAGGGAACACCCCAGAGACCTTTCAGCTCCATTAACAGCCCCGGCAATAGCTCCTGAGGGCTCCAAGAAGGAAAACTCACCCTCAGAGCCAAGTGTGTTAATAAGCAGGGGGATGACTGAAGGAGGAGAGCCGGATGCTCACCATCTCCCTGCTGACTCCTCTGGAGAGAGCCCGAGCGGCTCAGTCGCCGGTGGGAAAGGTGGAAGAACTCAGGATGTGATTTCAGCAGGAAAAGGCTGGGAAACAAAATAAATATCTGCCGAGCCTACATTTCTAGAGCTTAATTACAGCAAGCAGCAGGAGGAATGGCTGCCGCCGAGTGCTTTTGGCCGCCCAGCTCCGAGGGGCTTGGGGGGTTGTTTAAATTCAAGCAAGAGCTGTGCTTGCAGCTGAATTTCACTTGGATGCTCAACACTCAGAAATCAGGGCCCAGCTTCCAAATGACAGATTTCAAAAGCAAACGGACCTGGGCTTTGGATCTAGAGGCAGGTTTGTGTTTCAAGCATCCCTCCAGGGTTTGCAATTTCATTTTTTTGGACCCGAACGCCGGACTTACGCAGTGCTCCACTCGAAAGCCACCATCTCCATCGGTTTTTACATTAAATTATCCTAACAGACCGAGGCGAGTTCCTGCAACACGTGTGCCGGGATGAGGGGAGCGAGCGCGGCGATCCAAGCAGTGTGTGATAAATACAGACAGATGGCGCAGGGCGCGGATGTGCCAATGCACGGGGCATGTTTCTGAGCAGGGCTACAAGTGATAACACCCGTCCTGTGCATTATCTCTTGCTTCCATGGCTGGCCTCTTCCTCAGCCTCTTGGCTTGGCCTTGGGCCATTTTTATTCTCTCTGCACGCATTTAAGTTAAAATAGGTAATGCACAAGCAGGTGCCCTCATGGACACCACCATAAAACAAACACACCCAAGAGTTTCAGGTGCGGGGGGCACTGATGCTAAGCACCAGGCTCAGCAGCACGTTGACACATCTGATTTCCGTGGATTTTCTCTCTACTTCCCCCCAGCAAACCTATTTGCAGGAGTCACCGCGCACAATGCGGAGCAGGTCACCTGTACAAAGTCGTGGCATTGAACGCGTATTTATAGACGAAGCTGTTTTGTTGCAGATCCCCCTGAAAATGTATAAAAGCTTAAAAAAAAAAATAGAAGAAGAAATAGCAGAGAGGTGCTTGGGAATGAATCGCCTCCATGCAGCACGGAGGGGCATCGCGGTGAGCCCCCTGGTGACACCAGGGCTGGAAACACCCCAAGAAGGATGTGGGGCATCAGCCTCTGAGCAGCCTGACAAGGTCTGGAGATGTGAAGCTGAAAACTCCTCGGGCCTGAGGCTGAATTAGCAGCAGACGGAGGGAACAAGGTGGGGAGAGCTCGGCTCCTGGCTCTGGTGCATCCCCATGCCACGCGCGTTGCACTAGAGCAAAGCACTTCAACTCACCCCGGCTGTAAAACCGGGGATGCGATCTCCTTTGAGGCTTAATTAATGGATGCTTGCAAAGTGCTCCGAACTCCTCCGGGGAAGGGAAGGCCGTGTTATCGTGGCGAGGAATCTTTTTCTGAGTTTTATTCGCATTAGCTGCTGCTCGTGTTAAATTCATACAGCGCTTTGTAGGCAACTAAAGCACTTTCTCCGCCGCACATCATTCACCACTGCTCTCGCTCGCAGCCCAAATCAAGTTGCTGAAAGGCTGCTGATGTCTCCCAAAAAAAAAAAATAAAAAATCCTTGAAAGAAGCATTCTGTGCCAAGATAATTCTGCTTATATAACACATTATCTGTCTTTCTTTTCTCCTGGATTTTATTACTAAGAGATATTTGCATGAAAACAGGATCTTTGTTGCTTAGGAAATTCATCTGCTACCACTCATGGCCCCATTCTGCTGCGGTCGAGTGACAGCTATTGTGCTGTGCTCTCAGCCCGGGCTATTTATACATTCCCAGCACAGCACTGGCCCGCGTGTGCTGCCACCTCCACGGGAAAAAATATTCTTGCTTTTAAAGAGGCAAAAAATTAAATAAAAGCTGCTGCTTGGTCTTTATTGGCTCAAGGGGTTGGAAGAAGGGAGCAAACGATGGCTGGGGGTTTGGCTGCATTTTAGAGCAAAATAAGCCGTCTCGGCTCAGGGGTGTTTTGGGTGGAAAAGAAGCTGTTTTTGGGAAGGGAAGCAAGCATGCTAAAGGGCGCTGAAGGACCGTTTAATCTAGGGGAGAAAGGCATAGCAAGAATAAATAGCTGAACAAATTTTAACAGGAAACAAAACACATATTTTTATAGAGATGGCAATTAATCATTAAAAGAAACGACCCCAAAAGCACGGGGACCAGGGTCCTGGCTGAGGGATGCTCCTGGTATCGCACCAGGGACAGCCAGGGTGCTCAGGCCCCCAGAGACCTCAGGATGCCTTTAGCAAGTTTAAGCATCTCTGATTTTATTTTTTTTTCCCCTTCATTAAGTGGGACCGCTTCCTGCGAGAAACATCTGTGTTTGCTTTAACATGGAAATACAGGGGGAAATAAAACATTCAACTTTTAGCGACTTCAGAACGCTTCGAGCCTGGAATGCAAACGCAAATGTTTTTATGGGTGATAAAGCCTCGATTTCTCATGCTTCATTCCCTTACACCAGCCGGGCTTCCCAGCCAAGCAAACCCAACCAGGGAAGAGGAATCAAAATGAGAGGGAAAGCGAGGAAATCGGTGACAGAGACAGAGCAGGAGAATGGGGAAAAAATGAGAAAAAGGGGATGGGAGGCCAGCGGTGAGGTGTGGATGTGGGCAGCAGCGTTTCGAGGCGGGGGGGAACCAGCTCCAGCGATGCTTGCACCTGGACCGCTCCCTGCCTACAGATGTATAAATCATAGCGATCTGGTGGAGGGCATCCTTCCAGCTCCAAGCATTTCAGCAGAGATAAAAGCGTGCTGCAAGCCCCGGGACATCAGCAATGCCACCTTTGATTAAAAATTTACCATCGTGAGCCCTGCCCGGCTCCTGCACAGGCAGGGGCTCAGCACCCTCCTGCTGCCAGGGCTCTGCCCTTGCCCTTCCTTGCCCCGTTTGTCTGGGGGAGGCATTTTTTTTTCCTCCTCCAGGGCCTGGTTCCTCTTCTTTTCATTGGCCTGGCAAGAAGGGAAGCCTCATTGAGAAAACTAATTTGGGTCTGCACTGATGTAAAGGCAGAGGAGTCAGCGGATCGGAGCTTTCCGCTCAGGTCCGACCCCGGCTGTTCTCCAGACGTGAAAAGAAAGCAATTAATTCCTTTAATGGGCCAGGCGTACAAAATAAAGGGTGGGAGGGGAGCGGGCTGGGTGCAGATCAGCAGGTTTGGGACCTTTAATTGCTTTTTATTCATTGATGCTTCGAGGATGCTGCGCCATGCTCTGCAGCCCTGATTAGACGAAGTCTATTACCGGGTTACCAAAACGATGCAAAAATCAAGGCAAAAGTCACTCACGGAGTTCATCTTTCTACACATCTCCCTGCTCCGGCTGCACCACAGCCCTGCCAGCCTCCTTTTTGCAAGCCCTTCCCAAACCCAACCCCATGGCCAGCCCCTGGGCTTTGCTGGGAGCAGGAGAGGCAGGGGAAGGATGCGACCCACGCCGTGCACATCTGCTGCCTGCTGGTTCCTTCCTAAGCGCCTCTGGGCTTCTCTCGCAAACCCGCTCATCTCTGCTGGGAAAAGCCTCTTTTCAATTCTCCTCTCGTTAGCTGCTCCTTAATGTTTCATATTCCTGCCTGGGATCTGGGGCTTAGCATCGCCTCTGAAAAGCTTCCCTCGCTGCCCTCCCTCAGACCCCGGGATCAGGAGAGAAGCATCATTAGAGTAAACCTGGGATAAAAATACAGAAACCCGGTATCGTTGGGAGATTTGGGGCTTTGCCTGCTAAGGAAGCCCTTCAAAAGCCAGGCCTTGGTGAAATCATCCCCTCTCAGACACCCAGCCTTGTTTGCACCTCCGCTCTGCAGCCTCTCCTGCTCCATACCCCAGCACGTGAAGCACAAATCCAGCCTCATTTGTTTAATGCAAGCAAGGGGAAGGATAAGGCCACGGGAAGAAGGGCATTTCTTCTGCAGTAACCATGCTCCAAGGGAAGATTTTGTTCCTTTTAAAGTGTTCATCACATCGAGCATCCTACACGCCCCTTGGGCAGGCAAGACTTCAACCCCCTCTTGTCCCCTGTAGGGGACTCAGTGGGGCTGATTTAGCCAGATTTTGGCCCAAATCACGGTTAATTTCCTGCTGTGGGTGCACTCCCTCTCTTTTACAGCCCTCCTTATCCTCAGCAATCAGATCCCTGGTGGTTCGAGGGGAAGCAGAGCCTCTCCTCCAGCCCCTCTCAGTCCCAGGCAGGTCCCAGGGGATCAATGGGATTTGGGGCTCACGTCCACGTTCCTGCAGCTCCGGAGACAGGGTTCGTATTTCTAGCTTTTAACAGCAAGCACGAGGGCTGGAAACTCATTCTTAGTTATCATTGTTATTATTATTTAATGAAAGCTGAGAGTCTCGTGCTGCAGCAAGCCTCCAGGCCCTGGGACTTCACCGAAAACCCCCGAGAGTCCAAGTCCCTGGGGCAAATAATGCCCCGTGCCTCCCCCCAGCACCCGCATCCGTCTCCTTTCTGCGATGTTCTGCTAATTGTGATGGATGCTCTCGTGGTGCTTACACGGGGAGGCCAGTGATGAAGCCCTAATGGAAGGCAATACGTCTATTAGAGATGTAAAATCACCCAGGCTGCTGGCGATTCCTCACTTTAACGGCAGCCCAGGGGATCGCCAGGATCTCCAAGGGGGATAACAGCTCGTGGTCCTCAGCCTGTACTTGAGGTGGGGGCAGCAAACCCCCAGGACATCCCTGATTTATGGAAGCCTGCCCTGAATTCAGGACTACCCAGCCCTTACCCCGCACGCTGCCTCAGCTTATTCCACAAAACCAGGCTGTTCCCTCTCCCTTCACAGAATTATTCCCGCTCCCCGGAGGTGCAATGCCACAGAAAAGCTAATTATGGCTAATTTTCGGAGACGGGGGCTGGGAACAGCTCCAGAGCTGGCTGCAGGATGCCAGGGCACAGGTTGTGTCTGTGTTGGGGGCAGAGAGAGCATTATTCACTTTGCAGCGGATAAAGCCAGGAATTACTAAAGCTGGGTTTACAGGACTCACCGTCACCTCCCCAGCTGCACCTGGGATCCTTTATATGGGAAAGTTTGCTCCAAAATGATCCCGTGTAAAGACTTTTATTTCAGAACTAAAAAATGAGAGTTAAAACATTGCTATTTCTCCCTCTTCTTCCAAAGGCTTTTATGACAACACTTTGACTTTTAAAACAAAATTATATCCCTCCAGGCTTCTAATTGTGCGAGTGAATCTCATAGAAGCACCCGACTTATTTCCAAATGCTATTAAACATAAAAGCCAATACTGCAGCTGGCAGACTCCAGGATTTACACAGTGGGTTGTCAGCAGCCAACTGTCCACTCGTGTTATCACGGCCCTCACCCACAGATACTTCCACCGAAGGGTTTTCCCATTAGCAGGAGGGGTAATTAGGGATCTGTGCCTGCTATGGGGTGTCCCCACTCCGTGCAGGGTGCCTCCCATCCCAGTTGGAGGCACCAATTCCCTGCTCACCGTGCAAAACCAGCAGGGATCAGCCCCTGCCCCGCACACAGCATCAGGCCAGGTGCTAGGAAGCACAAATACAATATATAGGAATTTATCAGGTCTTTACACCGCTCAGCTTCCCCTCCAAACACTCACCGTCGTGCCCCATTGTGCAGCCAGCCTTTTATTCTCAGCCTTGCTTTGCAGGGAGGTCGGTGGCTGTGGCTGAGCATCCCTGTCCCCATCCCCAGCTGGCAGCAGGGAGCTCTCACCCCGCTATTTGAGCTGGCAGCTGCAATAATTAGCGTCTCCAGGCCTCTTTTAATTGCTCACAAGTGGCTGCAAGTGGGCGTCGTGGGTGCTCCAAGCGTGTCTGCTGTTTGCCCTCCAAGCTGCAGCTGCCAAAAGGGGGTTGAAAGAAGCAGGATTGGAGACGGTGGGGTTTGAAATCCATCCACCTCCTCTCCAAATCTGCCAACTCTCAGGCGTTGGGAATCTGCAGATCATTAATGCCCGTTAGTGGCATCCATGGACTGCCCTTTTAAGCCAGACGGGAAGGGCAGCACCCACAGGCTGAGTTTCTCTGGCTCTCGGGGCCACGAATTTCATCTAAGGATGAAATTTTAGCAGGGAGTCCTTGGCAAAGGCGACCTTTCCACGGTCCTTGCCTTGATGTGGAGGAAACCTCCCACCTGCTGGGGGGGTTGAGCCAATCCATCACCCTCCCTGCAATAAAAACCTCAAACAGACCCAAATTCTCAGGGGGAGCCAGAGCTGCTCAATTTTTTTTATTTCTTGTCCACAACCTTGGGGTCTCAACACTTCATTTTTCTGCTGGAAAGGGGGAAGACGGCTCTCCCTTGCTGCTGATACTCCTACAGCACAAAATTTGCACGTTAAAGGCAAAAATGCACGGGAAATGAAAAATAAAGGAGAAAACGCACGGGAGCCCAGGGCAAGCCTCCAGCCCTGGTGTGCGACAGCATCTCCTGCCCCAGCCCGAGTGTGGGAGCAGATGGCTGGGAAGGGGAGCAGGTGGAGCTCGCTGCTCCGTCGCTTCCCCTTAGAGAGAGACAGGGGGAGAAGAAAAACCAGAGTGCAATTGCACGGGGGAGCAGAAGGACTGGTGTTAAGGCTGGATAAAGGCTGGTGGAGGAGGATTGCCAGGGCACCGCTCCCTGGGTGCTCGGGCAGGCACAGGGCAAGCTGGCGGCACCGAGACCTCTCCTTGAGCAGGGAAAAAACCCTTCGTGCCGTGCTGGATTTCAATCCCCACCTTACAGCGACCAGCGAGTGGCTCCAGGCAGCCTCAGGGGGAGCAAATCAAGCTCCGTGCCTGGGCTGGAGGAGAAAGAGAAGCTCAGGATCCAGCCCGTGGGGCAGGGGATGCTCCGCACCCTGCGCCTTGCTCGAGGTCCTGGGTTTGTCACCTCCCCGCGGTGACATCCAGCAATCCAAGAGGCCAGCAGACAGACGGGGCAGTGCCCACCCCGCTCTCCCCCCGGGATGACACACGCGTGCCTCCTTTCTACGCACTTTCCTCAAATAAACTCATTATTTCCAATGCAAACATAATAAAGACGGCATAATGACTTCCTGGAACATTCACATTTTAATAAAAATTATAGAGGGGAAGAGATATGATGTGGCACCTGAAATTGAAACCCAGCTATTTCTTCCATCTTTATCATCCCCAAAATGTAATATTTTGACATTTAGAGAGAACTGCAGCATTGTGATTTCTTTTTTTTTTTTTTTTTTCAAACATATTTTATCTTTCCCTGTGTATTAGGCAAGCTCTTCTCCATTTTCTAATTTCATTAACTGGCACCGAGAATAAACCCCTTTATTTCCCCCTGAATCCACCCACTCACCATTTTCCCATTCAGCAGAGCTCTGCGTGTAAGACATTTTTCAAGCACGATTGCTCGGAGAGGAACGCCCCGGGAAAGGAGCACGCGGAGCCCGGGAGCACCCCAGGGCCACGGCACCAGGATCCCAAGGTGCTTGCAAGGAAAAGCATCTCCAAAAGAAACAACTCCGAGTTTAAAAAGCCCTGGCTGGAGGGAAAAAAAAAAAAAAAAAGAACAACAAAAACACAGCACAAGCCAACGCTGGGAAGTGATGGGACAAGGAGAGCAAAGCAGCAGGAGGCCGTTTGTGTTCATGTCAACCCTGGTGGAAAACCTCTTTTAAGAGCCTGATGTGTAAGGAGCTCTGTGATATATGGCAAGGGCTGAGAGCATCGTCTCATCTCACTTGTTTGTGTTTCGGGGGAAAAGTTGCAGTTCTCGGCGCTGACAGGTTTTATTTTTAAGCTTCGAAATAGCAGGGATGGCGAGGCTGCTTCTCCGGCAGGAGCCCTGGGAAGGCTGAGCCGTACGGATCGCTGCCTCCAACTTTAATTAGGGGGGGGGCAGAGATGAATCTGCCGCCTGCACTTTGATCCAGGGGATCTTCAGCTCCGGAGCTGAATGGGTCCTACTGAAAACAAGTGTAAAAACCAAATCCTTTGTTGGTGCTCACAGCTTGCGAGGCAATTCAGCTGTGTAATCCTTTCAGAAGAGCCGTCCCCGCGGAGCTGGCAGCGTCCCCTTCCCACGTCAGCCAAACCTCGCAGGAGGGTCCTTGTTCTTACGGGATGTGGCCGTGGCAGATTGAATTTTCCAGGGGCAGGAACCCACCAACACCCACCGGGATGCCACAGCATCCCCAGAGCACTGCACAGACAAATCTGCAAGGAAAGGGGCAGCTCCTGAAACCCCCCTGCGGCTCCTCTGCTCAGCGCCGGGAGCTGCAACCAAAAGCAGAATTTGGCAGTGGAAACCTGCCTGCGGTCCCTCGATCTGCATCGTGCCCGTGTTCGTGGCTCTGCAGCCTGAAGAAGACATCATGGAATTAGAAAGAGATCTCGGAGGAGGAAGGAGGATGATTAATGCCGCAGAAGGGGCAGGGGTGTGATTCGGCGAAGTAATAAAAGAAATACAGATGGAATAAAATCCTCCCTTGAAGCCTCATTCATCCAGATCTAAAAAAGGTGGATCCGTGCCACCTAAATCAGGGCTTCCTTGGCCAGAAGAGCGGGTAGATAAATAGATAGATAAGGCGCCTGCTCTGCCTCCCTGCCTTCCCTGGGTCACGCTGAGGTTTATCACACAGGCACTGCGCCAGCTCCTCGCACGTTTCCCGTTATCCATCACCCCAAAAGCAGCACTAAAGAACAGCCAGGGATCTAGGACCAGCAGGGTTTGGGAGGATTGGTGACATGAGACATCACTTCATGAGCATCATGCTCTAACCGAGGGTCTGGGGGTGGGGGTGATGGGGTGGTCCAAGGGGCAAATCCAGGGGGGCAGCTTCGTGCTGGGGTGTGTGCAAGGAGCCCCAGCAGCCTGGGATGCAAACAGATCCCTATTCTAGAAGAAAAGTTGATATTCCAGCTTATTCTCTGGCTTCACGTTGAAACGAGGGAGATCTGTAAAGTTCTCCAGGACATGGATGCTCTGGAAGGGGGGGTGGTGGAAAATCGAGATGGGCAATGTTGGTGTTACACCTCTGTCCCCATTCAGAACAACTCAGATTTTCTACGGCAGCTTTTGGAAACCTCACCCCGCTTCCAGGGTGTTTTTGAGAAGCCAAAAAACCACGTCCCTGCTGCTGATGTAACAACATTAAATATGAACAGGCAACCTGACACCGAATCTGTATCCCTCTGTCAGACAGGATTTGAAAGAGAATGAATTGAAGCCAGAAAGTTGAAAAAAATACATTTTTGGTTTTCTCTTACTTCTGTCCCCAGGCTTTTAAGCCACTGAACCTCGCTGGGCAGGATGGATGATGCCTTGTCTCTGCTGTGGGCTGCAGGAGGGCAGCAGGGGGGTCGGGTGTGGGATGGCACCAGCGAGAAACCCCATAACCCACCCAGACTGGCAGCAGCACCCTGGGAACCCCATCGATTTCTCTGGCCCATCTTTTGATGCTGCACACATCTGTGTCGGCATGGGGATCGAAATCAATAAGACAAGAATCTTCTATTAAAGCAAACACACAAAAAATGTATTTTGGAGGCAGGGGGTGGTTTTTTTTTGCTCTTTGGGAAAAGCGATTCTTCACCGATCCCAAACAAACCACGAAGAGGCACTTTGAACTATGGTAGCTGAGGAGGTGTAATTTGTCAGGAAGGAGGAAAGAGACACGGAATGAAATAAAGTAAAATAAAACAAAAATCAGGTTGACAGAGGAGAGGGAGGGGCGGTCTTCGTGCTAACCCAGCAGGGAGGGGGGATTTTGCTGCCTGCCATGGGGTCACCAGGCACAGCATCCTCCTGCATGGACGTTTCCCAGCTCTTCACCACCTCACTCCCAGGGACAAAACCATTTCTCCCACTTTGCAGAGCCCAGACGGGAGCGTGGATAAGCAGGGACAGGGACGGGGGCTGTGCCATCCCCATGATTGTGCCGGTGATTGGGTGATTTATCGCCACCATTCGTGTGGCCATGGAAGACAAATGGAGTTAATAAAGCCACCCGTCCCTGCCAGAGACATTTATTATAAGGCTGGTGCAATCCTTCCCCTTTCCATCCCTGCCCTGGCATCAGCTTGGGCCAAGGAAAAGCTCCCAGGAGGTGGCTGGAGCATCTCACCCCAAGCATCCTCCTGGCCCTGTGCACCCACAGAGATGCAGAAACCCTTGGAGCAAGAGCAGAGAGGGGCATTGGCCTCTCGTGGTTTCTTTTCAGGGAGCTTTTTCTTGCTTCTTGAGGCTTTGACTAAAATTTCAGGGGAAATCAGACAGAGATTTGGCGTCCTTTTCCCAGGCTGGGCCCGCTGGGGGATCCGAGGCCATTGCTGCAGCTTTCCCTGAGATGAGACAGGACAAAAGCAGCCACAGACCTCAACGGCCTCCGATAGGGATCTTAATAATTCTAGTCCCACTAATCCTCCCGAATTAGTAAATACAGCCTCATCCTATTTGGAGATATTGCGCTACCCAGGGGTTTCTAATAAGCTGATAGAAAGAAAGAGCCCGAGTAGCTCAGCTTCTAAATAGCAGCATCGGGTAGTGCCTAACGAGCCCTTCCTGGCCCAAAGGGAGCCTCTGATCAATCCACATTAGGCAATTCCCTGCCTTTCTTTCCGTTTACCTCCTCAATAATCCCCTCCAGCAGTTAATCAGCACTCCACATTCAGAGTCACTTCAGTTCCATTGGATTTTCCTAATGTTGTTGGCACGTTAATATTTAATAGCTCTTGGCCTCGGCCCTACAAGAGCCAACGGAGCTGGGATTTGGCTTTTGTTTCAGGGCAAATCTGAGGAGTCCCAGGGGCAGACCCTGGGAAAAGCAGCTCACGGCCTCGAGCAGCAGCCTCAAAAAACCTCCCTGGGCTTCCCCTGCTTCACATAAACACCCCACAAACATCTGGGCTGGCCCTAAATGCAGAGCAGCAGCTCAGGGATTGCGCTCAGGCAGAATGCCCC